AAAATAAAAGTCAGTCGCGCCATCAAATTGAAAAATGCCAAATATCGGCCTTGGCGATATATCGGTCGACCACTAGTGGTGATAATCAGATGAGGTAGTGTGGAGTATTTTAATAATCAGCCAAAGTAGCTGATTCCCTCAAGTCAAATGCGCTCAATCACGTGGGTCACTGCTTCACTTTTAATGTTATTGTAACTTTCTCGACAACGGTGTGTGCTTCAAGCTTTCATCCACATGTGGTGTACTGTCTGCTTGTGTCTGTGCCAATCCACAGATGAATGAATAGAGTGAGCGCTGATGTGTGGTGAGGTGGCAGAGTGCCTCTGGAAGCTGTCCTCCAAAAAGAGCTCTAAAATAAATCATTCATGTCCTAATGACTCCGCACAGCCTCTGAGGACCCATAGAGACGGTCACACACAATACTCAACCCAACTCTCATTGAAGGAATGGGGCTGTTGTTCTCACACAAACACCCCCAATCATCACCTTAATGACTCTTACAATGCTCCAAATCTCAAATGCACCTTTGATGGCGCACACACACTTCTAACCATGTGCACAACAAGGCCTAGTAGAAATGAACTTTGAGCTAGCTGAAACTATTGAACCATTTCTTTGTTTAGACTTTGATTGACCTTCAGTGTGTTTGTTTATAGAATTACTTGAAAGTGATTATGATTTGGATACAAAAGAGCACATTCATACATGCTTTCTAGAATGAGGTTTTGATTTATTTGTATGACATTTTAAAGGTTTTGCATTAAATTAATGAACCCATGTTAACTTCTCTTCAACTATGTGGTACACTTTGTTTGAGTGCATGATTTTGTAAATGTAGATTTATGGTATATCTCCACCTGGTGGTTACAATGTGTAAGCATATATCTTTGCTTTATAAGACTCAAACATTAAGGATTCTTCTTCTGCTTTGGTTATTTAATTATTTATTTTTATGTAATTTTTTTTCTTGCCCTAACAAAAACTCCACTGGCCCCACAAACAAACAAAAAAAAAAGTTTATAATTTTATGATATACATATTAACATTAAAAATAATAAATGTTTTCTTTAAAAAAAACATAAGAAATGTTGCATTATACAGCATTGCTGTGCTGAAAATGATTCCCTAATTTTTAATGCCTCTTTTTTTTCCCCCCTATCTTTTACTCTTATCAGATTGTTACGACTGAAAAAAAAAACACTTGTAGAAACACGTTATTCCTGTTGTTCAGGTATGTGGGTGTGTATGCGTGGGTGTGTGTGTGTGTGTTGTCAGTAGGCAGGTGTTAAGTTGTGAGCTGATATGCAGCATGTGCAGACTGAATTAATGTACGAAAGCAGATTTAGAAACCAAGTTGATGTTAAGTTTTTTTGTTAATGCACTTTCTCCTATCTTAGCTTCATATTCAATGAGAACTATAATTAAGCCATCCAGAAGAGTGTAAAAACTGTGGCTTTTTGACGTTCTCAAAACATTGTTAGGAGCAGGTGCAACTTTTTACTGTAATGAAATATTAAAAGAGGTGTATTTCAGAATAGACAGCTAATTGTAAAAAGCCTGCAATGGAGAAATATGCCTAATAATAAAGATGAGAAAGATGTTTAATAGGACCATGCTAACCAGACAAACCTCGACCTCATGCATATGAACCCACTGCAGCAGACAAGCAAAGATACAAGTCTGTTTCACACTGTTAAAATCTACAAAAAAACTGATTATACATCGACTTAATGATTTTTTTCCCCATTTATATACTTCTTATAGAAATGGTTTAATCAGAATACGCTCATACTTTTGATATGTCAATAGTTAAATATGCTGTTTGCCAGCATAATGGTGTAAGATCTTCCAGCAGGGGATAACTGCCGAATCCAACCAGCCAACTACTGACCCCTTGAGCCCAACATAGCAACAGATAAGCTCCTATCCAAGTGACTTCATTTTATTATAGTTTTAGCAGACACACTCACAGTCAGAGTGCCTTATGATGCGTTACTGGAACGTGGCAATTTATTGTGTTCCCAATGGTTCATTGTATGAAGTCAGGGAAGCGTTTTGTAGTTTTCCATATAAAACAGGTATGTGTGTTTTATGGATAAAGTTCTACTAGGCCTTTATGACCTTAATTTCAACAAACCTGATGTGTGTGAGCATGAGATAAACAGTGAGAAAGGTTATGTGTGAAAAACATAAAAAAAGCAAGGTTTAAGTTCTAAATATACATCCCACAAAATGCAGAATATACACAATATATGGGTCCATTCAGATGACATTTCAGCATTAAAAAATGCAACCAATGAGTCAGCACAGCTGAATTTAGCCCTTACCTGCTCTTATTAAAGCACTGACGTTGCACACGTTTCCAGTAGCCCTTCGTCATAATTCATTTTTCCAGTACATCATCTTTAAAGCTTTAGAGGTTCATTCAGCCCAGCATAAATGCTGTAATTCTCTTGATTTACTGATCTAAAAGACTCTTAATGCACCTGCAGATGATTCAATGATCTCCTGGTGCCCTTGATTTAGTGATTCACATATTCTCTATGAAGCAGTGATGCTCAAGTATATTAGAGCCCATATCAATTGCCTAAAATAATTACTCTCATTTTTAAAAAAATTTAAAAAGTCCTGACATTTCTCTTGTGGTCTGTGGGGAATGGCTTAAACCGTACAGCTGCATGCCAGTAATAAAAGTAGCTTAAAGGCAAAATGACAATTTCTCTTTTGCCATATGTATAACTAGGCCTGGGCGATAAAACGGTATCGATATTTATCGACGGTACACCTTCAATAACGATATAAAACAGTTTCGATATAGTGCACGATATAGGCACGTGCTATGAGTGACGCAGACAGCCCACACGAACATGAGTGCTGTGCCTGCCTGTGATGAGGAGATTGTGAATAAAAAAAAAAAAGAATATTATTTCCATGCGTGGACAGTTTAATGTGCTGCATTATTTTGCTCATTGTGCCCTCCTGTGGTTGGGAAACAAGCCAAAAGTTTAACCCATTTAATCTGCATATAAAACATTAGAAATTAGATTTGTTTAATTTTTATATGGTGTTTGACTGTTAAAACAAAAAAATATTTGTTGTTTGTCTCAACTGTAGTTTATTTAAAAATACAGTGGTTAAATGTAAAAAAAAAATTCTATTGCTCTTTGTTTTAAAAAAGGTTATAGAAATGTCAATAATTATCAATACCGAACGATATGAAACATTATATCGTTGATACATTTTTTTAGCTATATCGCCCAGCCCTATGTATAACACATTAATACTCTGGGTTCAATACAAGTTAAGCTCAATTGAAAGCATTTTTGGCATAATCTTGTTTGCCACAAAAAATAAATAAATAGACTTGTAACTCAGAACAGGGGTGCTGTTTTAATAGTACAGCCACAAGATGCATGTTAACCTTTTCTGTGTCTATGACAGTGCAGTGCCATAAACACTAAAACTGTAAATAATACTCACACATACTCATAATACTCACATACTCGCATATTTTCACATTTCTGCTTTAAAATCTTTGAAATTTACGTCCAGTGTAAGTGCCATACTATTATTTATTCATTTATTTTGGATAGTTGTGCGTATTTTTTCATTGTGGCAATTGCTATTGGTACAGGTTAACTTGTATTGAACTTGGAAAAATTCTTTAAAATAAAAATATTGTTAATATATATTGAACTTAATAGTTTGATGTAGTTCCTACTTTGTGATAACAAGTCCCCTCATCCTCACCTAGCCCTTGACTTGTGTTTAAGTGCAAAAGTGTGTTAGTGGTTTGCTCATTCTGTCAGAAGCAGCACGACATTAATATTAGTCCGTGTTTTATTGACTGGAAGACTAAAGTTTTGTTTTTTTTCACTGTATGAAGTTTACAGACATATAAACACACTTGCGCACATTGGAATAGCGAGGCGCGTGTGCTCTTAAAACAGCATGTGCACACCAATGACACGCCATGCATTTAATAACAGCACGACTGCCGTGAGCCAGTCGCAGGCAGAAGTTACAAGAGTACAGGGAGACCGAAAGATCGACAGAGAAGGGTCTGCAGAGGAAATAGAGAGTGAAGGATAATGTAACAAACAATAGAGAGGGAAATGCATCAAACTGACCAAGTTTTTGTTTTTTTGTGTATTGTCTCTCTGAACTCTCTCTGATCTTGCGGGGGCTTGCGATGTGTGTAGCATCTGATCTCTACTGTGTTCTTGCCAGTTATCTGGAGAGCATGTCTGTGTTTTTTATTTAAGTGTGTAAAATCACTTTACCTCTTAAACAAGTCTCTATGCTCAATTCTCCTCTTCTGTCCTTTTTGGTTCAAATTGCAGATCCACCTGATGGCTGCACTTTGTAAACTGTAATTAGCGGTAATGTCACCACTAGATGGCAGCAGTGCTCTTTATGATTATCGCATAGGAGCATATGATTGAATCTCCAGCAATACCGTTCATTGCGATCAGGTGTTTTTTTTATTTTTATTCTCTCCTCTCCATACGGTTTCTTGTTCCACAAACCTGATACTGTGTTATCTATATAGAGGCAGAGCAAGTATGGTTGCCCCCACCTTCCTCTTTCCATCTCTCAGTTTTTCATTTGTTCTTTTTTCGGGCCACTGGTTACAGGTCTTTGGGGTGACATAAAGGTTTCAGGTGCTTTCGGTGCCGCGGCACGGATCAGGGCAGGCACAGGGCCCTAGACGGAAAAAGCAGAAATTGGAATTGATTTCGGGAACATTTGGGGCTAATGTATCTCTCTCTTTGCTGCTTCCTCTGTTCCTTTGCCTCACATCTTCCATCTTTGAAATCATTAGATATTACAGATATTACAGCGTAAGCTCAGTTTGAAGGGCTTGTCCTGTTTAAACCTTTTATTTGTACATGCATTCTTAAATTAAACCTCTGTATTTTAATATATCCTAATCTTTTTTTTATCATTTAATAGCCTAAATGTCTTTTATTATCTTTTATAGATTTGCCAATGACATAACCAAGGATTTGCAGACTCTTCCTGGGGTCGAGTCGGCCAGCCCCAACGCTGCTGGATTTTTGTGGTAACGTTGTGAAGTTGAAAGGAAGCAGATTTGCCAGTCACCATGCCGGCCCTCTCCACCAGAACCGGCAGTGAGATAGGTACCTCATCTTACACCTCATACCTCATTGTATGGCAGTTAGGGTCTTTTAGTTTGACCAGCCAAGTATGGCCAAATGACAGCGTATGATTAATAAGTGTAAAATTGTGTCTTCAGTAACACATCTAATGTGTTTCAACTTTTAAATATTTTTAAAAGAAAGCTCTTATGCTTCTCAAGATTGCATTTATTTGATCAAAAATACAGTAAAAATGCTAATATTGTGAAATATTACAATTGAAAATAACTGTTTTCTATTTGAATATATTTTAAAATGTAATTTATTCCTGTGATGACAGCTGAATTTTCAGCAGCCATTACTCCAGTCTTCAGTGTCACATGCTCATTCAGAAATCTTTCTAATATGCTGATTTGGTGCACAAGAAACATTTACAGTGCACAGCATAAATGAGTACACTCCCTCTGAATAAATATAAAAGATGTATTTTCTTAATGATCACTAATATAATTCATGGAAAGATGGCAAAATTTAAACATTACTTTTTAATACTTTATTAATACTTAATAAAAACAACAAAACATATGACAATATTTTCTGTAAGATAAGTAAATTAGCCAATTTTGTTTAAATGAAGGATTGCAGAAATGAGTACACCCTAGATTTAATTCAGAAATTGTATAATATTCTAGTACTTAGTATGTCCCCCAGAACTTAAAGTATACTGCTCTGACCCTTCTTGGCACTGAGTGTACAAGTTCATGACAAATTTTCACATCTGTCCTGTTTAACTCCTGGACGACCTCCTTAAATGCCCTGGTCTTTAATGGGGAGTAGTGGGCTATATAACACTTTTAATTGTCAGGAAATTACTTGTCTTTAAAAGTTTTGGTTCAATATACTTACCTGTTGATCAAAAATAGCCTTAAACCTATACACTTTTTTTCCTTTAGTTTTATTTAGTAACTTTCAGGAGGGTGTACTCATTTTGCAACACAATTTTATCACTTTGATGAGAAAATCTTATTTTGCTGAATAATTTTGGCATTCTTCTTTGGTAATTGATCAAGCAGGCTTGTTGGAACATTACATATCCAAAGAACCCTAACAAGTCTTCTAAGTAAAGAGTAATTGCTACATTTAAGTTTTAGAGGGGGTTTACTTATTTATGCTGTGCACTGTACTTATTATTATCAATGTTGAAAACTGTTGTGCTGCTTAATATTTTTTGGAAACTGTGATCATTTTTTAAAGATTCTTTAAATAGAGTGTTCAAAAGAACAGAATTTATATGAAATGAAAATCTTTAGCAGCATTTATAAATGTCTTTTCTGTCACTTTTAAACAATTTAATGTATCCTTGCAGAATAATAGTAGTAATTTCCTTCAAAAAAAATTTAAATACTGACCCCAGTTTTTTTTTTTATGTAAGTGTTTTTGGTGTTTGGAGGCCATACTGCTATATAATGTGTAACTCGGATGCACACTTTGTCTCTTCTCTTTTTTTTTCTCTGCCCACATCCCTGTCTCATTTTCTTTATAAAGAAGGGATTACCAAGCGAATGTAGTCCATTAGAAACTAATATCTAGTTGGGGTATAAAAGTCTGATGGACGAGCACAAGGTTGCTGGGAGACATTTGGTATGGTTAGGTTACGTCTGCTGTGCATGATCCTGTCTTGCCCAACAAGTTTTTAATGAACACTTTGAAAGCCCAGTAAGCCACTGTGGATCTGAAAGATTAGAACTAGTGATCGACCGATATTGATATTTTATAACCGATACCGACACCAATTATTTGCGTGTTTATGTGCCCGATAACCGATATGCAGATCCAATATTTATTTACTGTTATAAAGTAAATAAATGACTGAGTGAAGTAAGTCCATACTTCACTTTGGTTTTTCCTCCTTTCAGCCATCTTTAAAAAAAAAAAAAAGTGTTAAATTACCAGTCTTTCATGTTAAATTTAATCTTCATATTACAATAATAAAAAAACATTTTATTTAAAGCATCAGCAGCAACACTAATATTAACAATAACCTAAATAAATGTAGAAGGTCTAATGTTTTGATTATATAGTAAATGTTAATACAATTTGGGGGTGTTTTAAACAAGTGAATCTTGTTAAAAGTTACATGCGGTGGCCGTGCTGGAGATTACATGTCAAGATGTGCACAAGGGCTCTGGTGCCCGGAACGTTATGCCACTGCTCTTGATGTGTTATTGGCTGCTATGCTGTTGTTGGACACCTGACACAAACCCTCTCTCTCTCTCTCTCTCTCTCTCTCTCTCTCTCTCTCTCATATACACACACACACACACTTGCACACTTTAAATGTTTCATTCATAAGGCAGGAAATTGAGATTTTATCACCAAAGCCCACTATAAATTGATCAAGGATGATTGCCAGTAAGTTATTAGCTTGTTTCTGGCTCCTCTGGATCTGTATTGTTTTTTTCTGTTCTGGTTGTCTCTCATTGAAACTCTCCATCACACAGTGTCTGTTCTGTCCTAGTCTCGTTCCTCTGTATGGACATAAAATGCTGTTCTTTTACCCCAACATATGTATCCTGTTTTTTTGTGTGGGTGTTTTGCTTCCTGGTGGCATTTGATTTCACTACCCTTGGGTGTCCTTGGGCTGACAGATCCATCCACCCACTACCTGTAAAATGTGTATGTGAGAGAACGAGAATCTGGTGTTGATGTCATATGATAAATTACTGTAATTCCTCTTGCATAAACTGCAAACTCAATCATCCTGTGCACTTCAACTCAGTCTACTACAGTTATACGTAGTCATGAATCATGATATTTTTTTCTCCTAATTTCAGTTCAGATCAGTTCTGTATTCCTTTGTTTGTTTGTTTGATTATTTATTTATTATGATTTTCTTCCTTTTAATTAATTTTAGTGTATTGTATTTATATTAATTGTATTATATATTTTAAATATGTAAAATAAACAAATATAAACAAATTGATTTTTAAATACATTTAAATGTTTTGTAATTTGTTGTAATTTGATTAAATTTTTGTATTTTTTTATTTATATCATTTTATTTATTTTAAATATATAATTTTTTGAAATATTTAAAACAAACAGCCATGCATTTAAAATGAATGAATAAATTTAAAATAAATTAGTTTCTTTGTATTTATTTAGCTACATTTGATTTTTATTCATTCATTTTTATCACATTTATATTATTTTTATATAATGTCATTTATTTATTTTCAGAAGCATGAGTGGTTGTTCAGAGGGGTCAGTTGTCATTGTTTTCTCTCTCAGTTCAGCTGCGGTGAAAGGAAAGCTCATTCAGTGAGTGGTTTGGTCCTCAGAGCTCCACTCCCACCTGCCTTCCCTACAGTCTGTTAGCCTGATCACTTTGAATCTGCCCTTTGATTGGAGCATCATAGCCCCCTACCAGATTTTTATGAGCCATATGAGTTTTTACGGTGTTATTCTGGGCTGGCCTGCTCGTCCAATTATGATAACTCTCCCCAAGGCGTCACTAAAAAGAGAAGAGCGCCATGTAGGCTCGAGAGAGACCAAAAGGGACACGTGGGAAATTTTTAGGACAGAAGTTCTTTAGCAGATAAGCCTCCTCTAATGAAGATGAATTGGTGTGTGACAGGTTTTAAGCATGAAGCTATCTGTGCAGGTATTCTACTTGAAACTGGAATTGTTTTTTGATTAGTGTGTGTGGATACGCTTATTTCCATAAGTCCTGTTCAGAAACAAGTGTATGGTGTAATGATGCTATTGTGCATAATGAGATCCATATTGAGCTCCATATTGTTTATCGTTCAGGTGCTGAGTCTCTCTTATGGCTTCAGCAGAGCACCGGCTGAATATGGCTGCAATGAGGGATATGACAGGAATGGCCATATTAAATTTCTTCTCGGCTAACAGTAAATTTTTCCATTCTGATGTCAAGAATGCAGAGCATCTGGGAGCAGAGGACAGAACGAAAGGGAGGGAGGGAGAGGAACGTTAGTAGCGGCAGCAGCATGCGCTTTGGGAGCACTTTATCGATTTCCAGCCATTTATCCTCCTCTTTTCCATCTATTTCTCTCTCTCTCTCTACTGCCACAGGGATACAGAACTGTAACACAAGGATTTGTTGCCACTGGAATAGCTCCCTGTTTCCAGTTACATCAGAATGAAAATTTCCACTTCATTTTACCAAATGCAGGAGAAAGGAGAGGGAGAAAAGCAGAAGGACAAGGAATTTCATTTATTTGTATTTTATTTTTATATCTCTATTTTCAAAAGATAAAGATATCTGTCGATGTTGACGAGCAGAATGCATACGGATCTGAAAATCTGGTGTGGTTGCTGGAATGTAAAAAGGGTCTGAACATTTATACTCAGTTGCAACAAAACCTTTATTTTCGTAGGTATGCAGAAGTCTTTATCACAGTACTAGGGTGTTGCTGGGAGTGACATATTAGCCCTAGTCAAAAGAGGCCAGTGTTACGTGATATTTTGGACACATTGGGACCTGTTCCTTCTTCAGTGTAATAGCTATAGTTTAAAAAATCCAACTTTAAATTCAGACTTGCCAGTTGTAGTCCTCTGTTATTTTTCTGCTGTGATTGAGCTCTGATATAGACATGAAATGTGTACTGTCACAAGGAATCAGTGTGTGATTGGACCAAATCTTTTCTACAGGTGTTCAGATGGCTGCTTTCAAGATCACATTCCCTCCTGTTCTGTGTAATCGCAGTAAAATAACAGATATTCTGGATTCCAGAGATGCTCATGTTGAGGGATGGTTTGACCTTGGCTACTGTGCAGCTAGATCAGAAAAGAAGCAAAAAAGCCAAATTTTCTGTGTCCACATGTTGACAAGCACTTCATGGCTCCGAAATGGAAAAAAAAAAAGACCCAGGAATGACTGACTTAGGAATTTAGGAACCAAATGATCAGAATTGCGCAATATACATTGTCATTCAAAATAAATAGTTTGTTTTATGCAGCAAGGATGCATTAAATTGATCAAACACGCCAGTTAAGACATTTATAATTTTGCGTAA